AAAAAAGAAAAAAAAAAGAAAAAAAGTAGGCTAATTATTTAAATAAAATGGCGCAAAAAACAATTGAATATACATACAATAAGCAGCACAGCTTTCGAGAGCCGGAGCCGGAGAACGACCATGATCCCGACTTTGTGGCCGACTCGGCTTGCGACACCTGCATCCTCCCGATCTTCTCGACCCCCGGGAACAGATTTATGCACGACGAGCGCGCGAATCTCCCTGCCATGCTGGCCCCGTTGTTGCATCCCGGGAGGTCCCTCATCCTCAACCGAAACAATTATTGGATGGATACTCGCAAAAAGTGCAACAGGTGCGGGTGGACGTGTGAGGGTGCCTTGTACGAGTGCCCAGACATCGACGGCCATGGGTTCAGGCTGGACCCGGTGTGCGCCGTCTAGGTCAAGGTGATGCACAGGAGCCACGAGCACAAGCTGACTGCCGTGAGAGGTTCCTTCTCCTCCAGCCGGTGTAGCGCGTGCGGGTCCCAGCACGGCGGCCGCGCAATAGGGTTGTTGGACTAGTTCTATGTGTGCGTCGACTGCGACTTCTGGCTTCATCCCGACTGTGCCAAGCTTTCCAATGCCATCAGAGGTGGGGCACTTCACCAGCATCCCCTTCTGTTATTTTATGTAAAGGGATGGTCCGAAGGAAATAAGTTTCAATGCAATATTTGCGGCGGCATTAAGGAGGAGGAGGAGGAGGAGGAAAAGAAGGATGAGTTCAAAGGTTTTGGGTTTTATGTTTGCTTCCGTTGTGATTACTATGCTCATGTCAAGTGTGTCAAGGCTAAGAGTCCCAGTGGACTTGTTGATAAACGGATTTGATCAACTAAACTGAACACCCCTTGTTCCGTGAATAATCGGTGTTCCTTCGATTGTAGGTATCTTCAAGATAGAAAAATCAAGAACCTTTTGTATTATTGCTCCTCCCAGAAAAAAAATGAATGAATCCCTTTTTTATTTTCTTATGAGGAGATCCCTCCCTTTTCTCCTTGATTTGTGTGCCCCCCTTTATCATCCATCCCCCCTTATTTATATATACTACATACTTTTTTACAAGTGGGGCAAATGGGAATATTCAGAAATAGATAAAAAGGGGTACACTTATATTTAATGCAATATGACGTCGTGGGGCCCGATCGTGACACTTGACAGCTTCGATTGACGTTTATTTTATCGGTAATGTCTGTCGGACTCAGATCTTCTCGATATCCTGGTCGGGCTGACAATATTAATTCTGGTAGGCTCGAACGTGGATGATCTGGGCATTTCGGAACTCAGTCGATATTAAATAATCAGCTTAGAGAACCTGCTATATTTATGTTTATTTAATACATATATCCACGTGTAATATTTTGTAATATTTTAATAGGCGAGGCCAAAATTTGATGTCAACATAGATTTAATATCGACTGAGTTCCGAAATGCCCAGATCATCCACGTTCGAGCCTACCAGAATTAATATTGTCAGCCCGACTAGGATATCGAGAAGATCTGAGTCCGACAGACATTACCGATAAAATAAACGTCAATCGAAGCTGTCAAGTGTCACGATCGGGCCCCACGGCGTCATATTGCATTAAATATAAGTGTACCCCTTTTTATCTATTTCTGAATATTCCCATTTGCCCCACTTGTAAAAAAGTATGTAGTATATAAAAATAAGGGGGGATGGATGATAAAGGGGGGCACACAAATCAAGGAGAAAAGGGAGGGATCTCCTCATAAGAAAATAAAAAAGGGATTC